TTAATACACAAAAGCTAACTGCATTTCTTTATACCAGCAACAAACAGAAGATTCAAAAAAACGTGTTAAAGGTACTGCTATTTACAAAAATAGATGGTACTTAGGAATACACATATCAAAAGGTATGTAAGCCCTCTATAAAGAGAATAATAAAGTCCAGGTGCAGTGATAATCCCAGCACTTTGAAAGGCTGAGGTGGGCAGATCGCTTGAATTCAGGAGTTCAAGATCAGCCTGGCCAACATGGCGAAACCCCATCTCTATATAAATACAAAAATTAGCCTGGTGTGGTGGCGTGCACCTGTAATCCCAGCTACTTGGGAGACTAAGGCAGGAGAATCACCTGAACCTGGAAGGTGGAGGTTGCAGTAAGCTGAGATCATGCCACTGCCCTCCAGCCTAGACAACAGATCAAGACTCTGTCTCTAAATAAATAAATAGGATCCAAGGACATTAAAGAATGCCTAAATAGATTGACATATATGTTATGTTCATATATTGGAAAGGTTAATATTATGAAGATGTGTCTCCTCAAATCTACGTCTTCATCGGAATTACACATTTAAACAAATAAAAATCCTAGATTCAAAAACCTACTGGAAGAGCAGAGCCAAGGTAATCCTAAAGATGAAGAACCAAATAGAGAGAATTTTATTAACCTAAAACATATAATTATAAAACTGTATAATTACAGAGAGCAATGAAACAAAATAGAAAAACAAGAAAAGTACCTATCTACATATAAAACTTAAAATATGGCACAACAGAATTCAGAATTAGTAGGAAATAATTGATTATTCCATAAATTATTCTAGTATAATTGTTCATCTACAAGGAAAAAATTGGAAAATTGACCTTTAGTTCATACCTTACACAAAAATAAATTTCTCATATATTGTCTTAAATGTGAAAGACAAAACATTTTAAATTTTAGAAGAAAATGTAAGTGAAAGATTTCTGTCTCCTTAGGGATCTCATAACTAAATAATGTAAACTGTAATAAAATATTAATTTAATCTTATTATAATTAATAACTACTCATTAAAAGACCCCATAAAGAGTGTTAAATCACAAACTTGGAAAATATTTTTGTGACTCCTGTAACATAAAACATAAAAACTAGTTTCAAAATATATAAAAGTGTTGTGTATCGGTAGGACAACACAAATAATCAAATTTTTTATATTGAATAGTCATGTCTCATGAGTAGCATGGAAAGCCAGTAGTCGATGATTCTCCACATCATTAGTATGAGTGAACCTATAAATTTCAATGATATAACAATTCACAGCCACCAGCCTGGAAAACAAAAAAATTGAAGTCTGAAAAAACCAAGTAATAGGAAGAACATGGAGCAATAGAATTTCTCAGAGCAAGAATTTAAATTGACAAAAACATCTTGAGGGACAATTTATCTACCAGCGAAGTTGGACATGGCTATAACCCTTGTCCAAGCAATTCTACTTCAGGGAATATATGCTAGAGAGATCTTTGCACATTTGCATCAGGAAACATGTATGAGAATGTTCATAGTAGCATTGTTTATGATAGCAACAAACACTAGAAAACAGCCCAATTGTCTATGAAAGTAGAATAGGTTTTAAAAATTGTAATATAATCCTACAATTAAAGATGATACAGTAGTAAAGATGAATGATAGCTGGGCATGGTGGTGCGTGCCTGTAATCCCAGCTACTCAGGAGGCTGAGGCAGGAGAATTGCCTGAACCCAGGAGGCGGAGGTTGCGGTGAGCCGAGATCGCGCCATTGCACTCCAACCTGGGTAACATGAGTGAAACTCCGTCTCAAAAAAAAAAAAAAAAAAAAAAAAAAGATGAATGAACTACAGCTATATGCATCAGCATGAATGAATCTCAGGAAAAATAATTTTGAACTCAAAAAGCAAACTAAGAAAAGATATAGAATTATAGTTTCATTCATGTCAGGTTCAAAAATAGGCAAGGCTAATCAATATGTTGTTCAGAGACACATGCATGTGATTAAAATATAAAGAAAAGGAATGGAGAGATTATCACAAAATTCAGGATAGTGGCTGCCTCTGGAAAGGAAAGAGAGATATATCATAATGAAGGTGCACACAGGAGTCTTCAAAAATATTGTTACTTCTCTATTTCTTAAGTAGCTGAAAAGCACAAGATGTTCCTTTCATGTTATTTTATGCCTTTATTTACATTGTAGGGGAGGTGAAACTTTTCCTCTACCCTCTTCTGGTCTCCTGGTATCCCTGAGAATTAAATTAACATAGATAAATTAAAAGAAAAAAAGCTTATACATTTTTATTATGTACCTGGGAGCCCAATAGAAAAATGAAGATCCAAAGAAGTGGCAAAAAACCTAAGTGCTTATGTACTGGGTAGAACAAAGAGAAGCAATTGTGGAGAAGTAACTGTTATTGAAACACCAGAGGTTCAGTTTAGGCCCTTTTGTTCACCACACAGAAACCTATCACTGAGACGGTGAGTACTGCCAGAGAAAAAGCCTTTATTTGGGTCCTTCAGCCAAGGAGATACAAGAACAGTCTCAAATTCAACTTCTCAACTCACTAAAATTAGGGATTTATATAGCAGGGAAGAACTGTAAGCATGTGTGAGAAAATAGGAATTAGGGAGAGGTGAAGAGTAGTTGTTTAACAGGAAGCAGATGGTCAGTTAGGCAATAATGAGCAAAAAAAAGCAGGGATTACAGTTTTAGTCTCTGATAAAATCAACTTTAAACCAACAAATATCAAAAGAGACAAAGAAGGACACTACATAATGCTGAAAGGATCAAGACAACAAGAAGAGCTAACTATCCTAAATATATATGCACCCAATACAGGAGTGACTAGATACATAAAGCAAGTTCTTAATGACCTACAAAGAGACATAGACTGCCGCACAGTAATAATGGGAGATTTTTAACACTCCACTGTCAACATTAGACAGGTCAACGAGACAGAAAATCAACAAGGATATCCAGGACTTGAATGCAGAACTGGAACAAGTGGACCTAATAGATATATACAGAACTCTCCACCCAACAGCCACAGAATATACATTCTTCTCAGCACCACATTGCACTTACTCTAAAATTGACCACATAATTGGAAGTAAATCACCCCTCAGCAAATGCAAAAGAATGGAAATCATAACAGTATCTCAGACCACAGTGCAATCAAATTAGATTTGAGGATTAAGAAACTAATTCAAAAGCGCACAACTTCGTGGAAACTGAAAAACTAGCTCCTGAATGTTGACTGGATAAACAATGAAAGAAGGCAGAAATAAAGATGTTCTTTGAAATCAATGAGAATGAGGACACAACTTTCCAGAATCTCTGGGACACATTTAAAGCAGTGTCTAGAAGGAAATTTATAGCAGTAAATGCCCACATGAGAAGCCAGAAAGGATCAAAAATCGACATCCTATCATCAAAATTTAAAGAGCTAGAGGAGCAAGTTTAAAAAACTCGAAAGCTAGCAGAAGACAAGAAATAACTAAGATCAGAGCAGAACTGAAGGAGATAAGAGACACAAAAAAACCTCAAAAAATTCAATAAATCCAGAAGCTGGTTTTTTGAAAAGATCAACAAAATAGACAGACCACTAGCCAGATTAATAAAAAAGAAAAGAGAGAAGAATCAAATAGATGCAATAAAAAATGTTAAAGGGGCTATCACCACCAATCCCACAGAAATACAAATTACCATCAGAGATTACTACAAACAACACTATGTACATAAACCAGGAAACCTGGAAGAAATGGATAAATTCCTGGATACTTGTATCCTCCCAAGCCTAAACTAGGAAGACATTGAAACCCTGAATAGACCAATAACAAGGACTGAAGTTGAGGCAGCAATTAACAGCCTACCAACCAAAAAAAGCCCAGATCCAGATGGGTTCACAGCCGAATTCTACCAGACATACAAAGAGGAGATGGCACCACTCCTTCTGAAACTATTGCAAACAATACAAAAAGAGGGAATCTTCCCCAACGCATTTTATGAGACCAACATCATCCTGATATCAAAACCCAGCAGAGACTCTACAAAAAAAGAAACTTGAGGCCAGTATCCATGATGAGCATAGATGCAAAAATCTTCAATAAAATACTGGCAAACTGATTGCAACAGCATATAAAAAAGCTTATCCATCACAATCAAGTTTTTTTTTTGTTATGCATACACAGAATGTATATTTTTAAATAGAGTGGGTTTTAAGAGTATACTTGGAAGCCTCGGAGTCCCCTACAGACTGGAACAGGGTGACCCATGGACTTCTAGCCAAAGGCTCCCCTCCTTGGGGCTGCTCTGGGGAGAGACTCACAGCTGGACTTCATCCCGGGGATGCAAGGCTGGTTCAACATACACAAGTCTATAAATGTAATCCACCACATCAGTAGAATCAAAGACAAAAACCACATGATTACCTCAATAGATGCAGAGGCCTTCAACAAAATTCAACAGCTCTTTATGCTAAAAACCCTCAATAAACTAGGTATCAATGGAACATATCTCAAAATAATATTTACAACAAACCCACTGCCAATATCATCCTGAATGGGCAAAAACTAGAAGCATTCCCTTTGAAATCTGGCACTAGACAAGGACGCCCTCTCTCTTCACTCTTATTCAATATAGTATTGGAAGTTTTAGCCAGAGCAATCAGGCAAGAAAAAGAAATAAAGGGTATTCAATTAGGAAAGGAGGAAGTCAGGGGGCACATGTACAGGTTTGTTATAAGAGTGTATTATGTAATGCTGAGGTTTGGGATTCTATTGATCCCATCACCCAGATAGTGAACATAGTACCCAATAGATAGTTTTTCAGTCCTTGCTCCTCTCCCTCCCTCCTTTTGGAGTCCCCAGTGTCTACTGTTCTCATCTTTATGTCTGTGTGAACCCAAGATTTAGCTCCCATTTATAAGTAAGAACATGAAATATTTGGTTCTGTTTCTGTGTTAGTTTGCCTGCAGCTCCATCCACATTGTTGCCAAGGACATGATGTCATTCTTCTTTATGGCTGTATAGCATTCCATGGTGTATATGTACCACATTTTCTTTATCCAATCTACCATTGCCAGGCACCTAGGTTGATACCATGTCTGCTATTGTGAATAGTGTTGTGTCTTTTTGGTAGAATGATTTATATTCCTTTGGTTATATACCTAGTAATAGGATTGCTGGGTTAAATAGTAGTTCTGTTTTTAGTTCTTTGACAAATCTCCAAACTGGTTTCCACAGGGCTTGAGTAAATTTGCATTCCCACTAACAGTGTATAACCAGTCCTTTTTCTCTACATCCTCACCAGATTCTGTTATTTTTTGACTTTTTAATAAATAATAGCCATTCTGATTGGCCTTTTATACCACTTTTGTAGCTGCAATTTCCCATTCTATGTGGGAAGAATAAACATGAATCTCAAACTCTAGGAAAACTACCCCTGGGGTAAAGAACTCTCAGGGAACCTGTTTTGCTCCCTACACCTGGAGCTGAGACCAGGAAGGGCAAATTTATTTGTTGCCTAATAGTGCTGAAGGGCAGATTTTAACTCTAGACTTCCCTTTTACTGAGGGTATAGTTATTCAAAGTCCCCTATTTTTTTTTATGAGGGTTTCAATTCTACTTCTGGCCCAGGTCCTTTGATCCCAGGGCCTTATTTCTTGGTCTGTTAAGGATGTTTAACTTCAACCTTCTTCAAGGATTTCTGGCAGATTTTATTTCCCAATTTTTGCTTGCCTCCTGAGAGTTTCCCTTTCTTTCTTCCAAACTTGGCTATGCAGTTCAAGGTGTTTTACAGCAGAAAAGTTCTCAACCTATATACTCCATCTTGCTGCAGAAAATGAAAATCTCCCACTTACCTAATATAAGGTCCCACCATATGACTTGCTAATATTTGACTACTTTTGACATACAAAATGTCATATATTTTGTGTTTTATAATTGCATATAATTCTTAAATAATTCATGTGTTTCTTAAATATTTAACTCAAATATTTTCTAGTCCTCAAATCTGATATGAGGATTAAATGAAATAATATAAAGTCCTTGGCATTTTGGACATAGAGTAAACAATGATATCTTAGCATTATTAACATATATATGTCAACTGCATGGAGTATTATGGGAAGAATAAGTATCACAAATACACAAACTGGTAAGAGGACTTACCTTCAGAGGGGGGATCTGAATTGCTGGGAATGGAGAAGAGACTTCGTTTTATCTGTAAGCCCTTTGGTAACTTTTGAATTTCAAACCATGTGTGTTTCCCATGCAAAAATTATTTTAAAAATCAAAAATGAAAATTATAAAACCATACGCTGCCTCATGGTTGTGTGTGCTTTTAAATTTTTTAATAATAAGTGTGTTTATGTGCTATATTGACCATTTAGAAATTAAAGCTCAAAAAATCATTTGGACATATGTCCATACAAGTATAAAAATAATTAATACTTTATTTTTTTCCTATTTGCATGATGAAACCAAGGCTATATTAGCTTAAAGATAATCAGTGGCCAACTCAAACCTAATTTGATATGAAATGCAAAAATTTTCAAAAAAGCATTTATAACAAGGCAACTTCAAAAGCTAAAGTTTAAAGTTAGCAGAGATATTTTATAGTAATAAATTACACTCTGTGCTTTGAATATCTTATAGAAGATATTCAGCCTCAGAGTAGAGAAAATAGTTGTCAAAATGTGGTAGAAAAATGAAACATTATTTTGTTGTTGTGGTTTCTCATAAAACAAAGCAGCAGCTGCTTTTCAAAACACGCTCACACCATGATTCCTCTGTGGTGTGGTACTGAACACATTTACAATAAAGATACTAATGGGTTTTAAAAACTGCATCCTAGCTGGGATGTTTTCCTAAGAAATATGAGGCCATTAAAAGTAATTATCACAGCAACCTTCCAGGGGGTCCCCAATATGCCTGGGAGGAGCCCATTGTATATCTCTGGACTATTGGAATTTACCTTAAATTGATGGTCCCTGAGTTATTTGAGGTAATATGGTATTCTGTTGCCTTTTTTTTTCTTCCTCCATTTGGTCTACATCAAGGTTTCCCACCCTCCACACTATTGATATTGTGGGTCTGATAATTCTTTGTGGTGGGGCACTGCCCTGTGCATTGTAAGAGGGTTGGCAGCATCTCTTGCCTCTATCCACTAGACAACAGTAGCATCCCCTCCTCAGCTGTGACAACTAACACATGATCCATATTGTCAAATGGCCTTTAGGGAACAAAATTATTCTTTATTGAGAACCACTGCTCTGCATCCTGCTAAATTCTTTAATCTGGGCCTGGATTAGTGAGGAAATTGTCAAAGTTGGGAAGAGATACCTTTGGGGTCCTTTGTGGCTTACTGAGGAAGAAGAAATTTCTCTGTTTTAGAATAAACTCCATAGTGCAGCCTGCTCACTAGATAAACTGAAGGGAACCAGTGGCTATGTTCCAACAGTCATAATATATAGCATAATATTCTAAACATAACTTTCTATACTTGTGTGTTTTTCGTCACTAAAAAGAGTAGGCACTGGGAATTAGTTAACACTTTCCAGGATGCGACATGACAGCAAAAAAGGGACAGCCCTACTTACATTTTGGTCTGAAAAAGGCCTGAAGAGATTGCCTTTCTACTGATAAGAGACAAGTTATATGTGACAATGATATGCATACACCTGCAGTGACCCCTGCCTATGTCCCAGCAGAGAGGCCATGAGTCCCTGCTGTCATCATTCTGGGAAGGAGACCTCAGGAAAGTTGGTGTTTCCACCATTCAAGTTCCCTATCACACTCCATGACTAAACAGTGGTGTAACCTGGAGCAAGTTCCAAGTTTCTTAAACTCTCTGAGTCCCAGTTTTACTTCCTAGTATGTTGGAAGAATCAAATGACAGGCTGCCAGTAACACATAGCAATTGGATCTTGGTAAATCTTTGAGAGAGATGAGGAGAGAGATAGAGGGCCCTATCTATTGGTGACTCCCCCTTGTTCTGGTTCTCCTGCCCATCATTCCTGCCAGTGGTAGTTAAAAAAAAAAAGTGGAAATATGAACAGAGGCTTAATAGGAAAAAAATAAAAATTTATTTGCAAAACACACAGTCTTAATTTGGGGTTAATTGCTCTGTTTACTGAGTGAAGTTCATGAGGCACTGTGCTTTGGACTGCTCTCCTTTCCTCCCCCCTATTATTTTTGCCCTAATTTGTTTAGCAAAACCAACGTGTTAGGTCATTTAGGAAACTGAACACTGATATGTTTCCATAAGGAATTAGTCAACTTTCAGTCTGGAGGCTGGATCTGGAATGTGAACAATTAGATGGTAGTAGATCCCTAATACTGAAACGGTCCCTGATAGTCTCTGTGTTTCTGAACCATCCTTCTGCTTGTCCTGGTGAGGAATTAGCCTGCTATTGGCAGCAGCCTCCATTCAATCCCTGCAGCCCTAGGGGAATGACAAGAGCAGCCAGGCTGTCTATTAGATGTGAGCATCCCACACCACACTTTGACACTTCTACCTATTTCCTTTGACCCTTAATGAAACTGGCAGTTTCCTCATTTGTTGTTCTGTTTCAGGTTTTTGTTTTTGTGTTTTTTTCCCCTTCTTACTCACTTATAGTTTACAGCTGTCTCTTCCCCAGCAATGTTAACTTTACATTAACTAGCTGGAAATTTTTCATGTTTATATTTTATATTTTATGCTTTTTCCAGCTAAGAAAACTTAAGATTTGTTTCCTAGAGACATTTCAGAGTTTTGCCTCCAGAGAGAATAACATTCATAGCAATTTTTCCATCCTTCTGTCACACCCATAGAGTATGGATATTAGATTATTATAGTATAGAATCTTCAGCAATCTGGAAATTTCCACTTTCTAAGAAAGAGTAGGCAAAGTGAGGGTATAACGAATTCAAAGGTCAAAATAAAATTTTTGAAATTAAGCAATTGTTAAAAAAAATATGTGCCAGCTATAATATTGGAAGCCTGAGTTCCAAGATTTTCCCTTTAAGATTTGCTTTTACCATAAGTCAGGTTTCATGAATATGTAATGAATTTCAGCTTGCCATTAGTCCTACTGTTAAATAAACAGCATTATTTTAGAAGGAAAATTCTCTTATGATTCCCAGAGAAGTCTATTAAGCTAAGACTCTTAATGTTCAAGTAGGCTTTATTCCTATTTGTTTTGGTGCCTTTATCACAGGAGATTGGGAGAATAGGGTAGAGGACAAGCCTCCATCCTACATTTTCTATAACATGTAAATCATCAAGTGGAAGAAAAAAAGCAGAAAAACTGCTGGTTAGTAGAGCTATTCAACTTGTGAAGAACCAAATTCAGGGAGTAGACAAAGTTTTGATTTTGAAGATAAAATGTTCTCTTTCTTTTAAGAGAGGAGAATTACAATTTGAAGACATAAAATAAGTGACTTGATGGAATAAGATATACTCATGGTAAAATATCTAGAGTTGGTCAAAATAGTGCCATTTTCTAACAGGTGCACAGGAACCCTGTAGCCAAATCTACTCTGAATATAATTATATACAAATGGTAAATATAAATAAGTAATTCTCAGGTCTTGGCCATGCCAGAAAACTTTTAAAGGTTCCCTGCCAACTCAGGTGAAAAGGGGCATGTGTTAGCCCCAGGCTCCAGGGCTAACTTTTTAAAGGAAAAGAATATAACTTGTAGCCCAGGCCTTTGGAAAAGAGGACACCACTTTCATATCAGGAAAACATCTTAACTAATCCCCTGAATGCCCCTGTGGTCATCTTTTTTCTCAGCTAAAGGATGGAGAGTGGCATTAGAAAAAGTGTCACCAGCCTCTTGGTTTCTCTCATCCTGACAGACCATGGACTCCACCGTTCCAAACTGGTCAGAGATGAGGCCATTAATCACATAATAGCTTTGCTTCAAAGATCTCAAAACAATTCACCAAAGTTTTCAAGTAGAGATAATTTTAACATTTGTATAGCTAGAAAATAGGATAAGTGGTAATTGCATTTTTCAGCTGCCAAGTAGAGAACCTTTTACCTTGCCTAGGGAAATTTTGGCCTAGGTAAAAAGATGAAGAGGATTATTTTCCCCAAAAGAAACAAAACTTTTAAGTTTAGCTTAGTAAACCCAGAGGTATATTTGTTGTCTCCCTGTGTCCTTGCTGTCCTTGTTAAGATGCCTGAAATGTATTATTTTGCCAAGAACTGAATCCAGTCATTTGGAAGATGAAGACTTGCAAGGTTTCAATGAGAACCTGGGACAGGCACATATTAAAAACCAATATGGAATTCTCTTCCTTCTGTTTCCAGCATGAGTCCATCCCTCTTCCTTCCATGTATCCCATGATTTTAAAGTGGGTGCTCTACACCTACTTTATAGTTTAAAATATTGAGGTAAATAGAGAAGTAGACTATTACATATTTAACATGGGTTACTTTCCCTTTTACAAAATAGGGACTATCTTGGAATAAATAAAAAGCTTCTGTCTAGGAAAGAGAAATTGCCAAATGATTAATCCAATAGGAGATAAAGCACCGACCATCACTTTCTACAGCATAAAGGTGTGGCTTTGGGTAAACCATGGCATAGCTTGCTTAGGTATCTGCCCAATGGGCATGATAGTTTTGTTCCAAATATTTGGCTTTAGAGAAACAATTTTTTTTCTATTGCAGCAATGCTTAATTATATATGCCTTGAGGCTACTGGTTGTCTCTATAAGTTCATTGTAAATTACATTGACATTTTAACAAGGTTTGGTAGTATGTATTTGAAAGCCACAAAGCCCAGAGATGTCAGAGTTAACCTGTCAAAGTTGGATTTCAAGTACTTGCTGCAGGCACTCTCAGCATAGCCAGAATCACATTCTTTTTAGAGGAACAACTGAGCCTGAAACTTCAGGGTGGCTTAGTACATTGTCAAATTTATTTACTTTTAAAGATATTTGTACTTATCCTCAGCGGTAGGTAATTTCTTAGGTAAGTGGATGAATAATTTTTAACCTTTCTTCAAAATATAGTTACCTTGAATATATATAAACATTATGAATGAATAATGAGAAAAACATAAACATGAAATTTTATCTAGTTTCTGAGAAACAAATAGTGTTTATACCACAGTGTTATGCTAGAAAGATTTTTATTTTTTTCCTAAAACATAATGTAGACCACAAAATTATTCACAAAATAAACTTAGCCATCATTTATCAATCCTATTAGACATTTAAAATATTTAGCTCATCTGCAGAATATATCCATTGGGAAGAAAAATTATACATTCCATTGTAACATTCAACATCATTTTTTCCACTACTGCCCAAAATGAAAACAATGTTTACCTTTTACTGGAGAAAACACATTATAATCTTACTTCATTGAAGGCCAAACTTGAGAATTATATATCTGACAGAAGAAATTTCGTTTGTTTGTTTAAAATGTAATTCAGTGTACGGGAATGAACTGCCTTGATAATGTTAAAGCTCCACTGGTTTCTGAAATATGATTCTTAAAAATGAATGCACATCTAAAGAGGACCTGCATGTTGAGTGTGGCGTCCAAGATTGACACCAAAGAAAAATAAGTAACTTTAAAGGGGAAGGAAAGCTGAATTCATGAAAGAAATCCAAGAAGAAATGATCAGAAACTTTATAGCAAGATGCTATAAAGGTTCCATTTTCTTTTTTCCCTGGGGCTGTAAGAGCTTTGTAGGAGCTTTGTCTGAAACCTAAACACAGTTTGGTTGGCTAGAGTCTTTTCTTTATGAAGAAACAGCCATTGAAGAGGAGACCTTACTCACCATAGGTGATGTGGTCATCTGCTGTTGATGATGCTGGAGCTTTTGCTACCCATTCATACACTAACTCACCTGATGTTAAATTTTGTGTTCCCATGGTCTCTGGCTACATTGGGATGTATCATACATGTGTGTATGTGTGTGTGTTTATGTGCACATGCACACACATGCTATATGTTCATGTAGAGACAGATAGATAAATAATAGAGAAAAATAGTAAAATGACTGAGAAGTGAGTCTTTAAACATTCTACCTTCATTTATCAACCACTTCAGATATGGCATAAACACTCCCCAGTCATAAACATTCTCCTTCCCTCTTCTGTGCTCCAGTAGGATGTTTTTTAATATCTTAACAGTAGCATGTATGATATTTTGTGTTATTATTCATTCACTTGTCTGCTTTTTCTAGCAACCCTTAGGTTTCTTAAGGGACAGACCATTTCTATGCAGTTCCTAGTTGTCTCTCCAGCACCTGGAAAAGCGTCTGCATATAATAGTTGCTTAATACATACTGGATAAATGAATGATCAGATACAAAAATGAATTTAACTATACCTACCTTCTGGGTATAAACAAATTCGTTTTCATACCTGATCATTCATTTATCCAGTATGTATTAAGCAACTATTATATGCAGACCCTTTTCATATATTCCCACTTGTAGTCTCAGTGCCTTGCACAACTCCTGTACTAGCTGGGTCTTGGTATGCATGAGTAAGTAGGAAAGACCCAAGACTCTAATGGAATTAGACCTGAGTTGGAACCCCAGCTTCACCACGTAGAAACTCTGTGAGCTAGACCATATTACGTTACATCTCTGAGCTTCAGTTTTCTCACTAGTAAATGTGAATGACAGATTAACCATATAACACATGCAGTGAGGGCCTCGGCACAGTGCCAGGCAGAATCACGCCTCACTTAAATACCGGTAAATCTTATAGGAAAGGCTAGAAGGCAATATTCTCACTCTCCTTTTGACTTAAATGTTTATTTAATTTTTGAGGCCAAATTCCATGACAGAAAGGCTGAGGTGATAATAAAAAGTCTTGGGGCCAGGTACAGTGGCTCACACCTGTAATCCCAGCACTCTGGGAGACCAAGGCGGGTGGATTACCTGAGGTCAGGAGTTTAAGACCAGCCTGGCCAACATGTTGAAACCCTGTCTCTACCAAAAATACAAAATTAGCTGGGCATGGTGGCACATACTTGTAATCCCAGCTACTCAGGAGGATGAGGTAGGAGAATATCCTGAGCCTGAGAGGAAGAGGTTAGAGTGAGCAGAGATTACACCACTGCACTCCAGCCTTGGTGACAGGGCGAGACTCTATCTCAAAAAAAAAAAAAAAAAAAAAATATTCCCCACCTGGACACCATCCAACTAAACAGTTGGACAGGCGCAGTGGCTCACACCTGTAATCCCAGCACTTTGGGAGACCAAGGCAGGTGGAACATTTGAGGTCAGAAGTTCAAGACCAGTCTAACCAACATGGTGAAACCCCATCTGTACTGAAAATACCAAAAAATTAGCCAGGCATGGTGCCACATGCCTGTAATGCCAGCTGCTCAGGAGACTGAGGCAGGAGAATTTTTTCAACCCAGGAGACGAAAGTTGCAGTGAGCTGAGATGAATCATTGCACTCCAGCCTTGGTGAAAGAGCAAGACTCCATCTCAAAAAAAAAAAAAAAAAAAAAAAAATGAGGGTAGGGGGAAAGCATTGTATGTGTGGCTCATTATCCATGAAACAAGTATAATAAATGGAATTGCCCCAAAATCAAGGAGTCACAATTTGTACAAATAAGCATTTCTTGGCTCCAGTTAGGTCTAGATGTTCATTTAGCTGGCCCCACTGTTCACGTGGCCACTGTACATGGCCTTCACTCCCAACTCACCAAATACTTTTTATGTGGCCATAAAGTAGTGTGCTGTTGTATCACAAGATAAATTCATTTACCATCTTTCATCCCAGAGACATCCTCAGAGCTTCATGCACAGGCACTTTAGCTTCACAACATTCTTGTGCCTAATGGAGAAAATGTGGTTCTCGTTTTTCAGAATTGAGGTAATTGAAGATTGGGTTCAGTAATCTGGCCTAGATGGTAAATATTTTGTAAGGAAATATTCAACTAACAGTTGGATCATCCTAGCCTAGTGTCTAGGTCTGCCTTGACTAACCTGGATTCACTTGGGTTCAACTTCTCTGAACTATAAAATATTTATAAAATCTGAGTAATATTCCCTGCTCCTCTTACTTCACATAACTTTTGTCAAGATCAAACAATATCATATCCATGAAATATTTTTGGAATGCATAAAGCAAATATTAAATGTTAAGTCCTACAACAAAGTACAGGCATACCTCAGAGATATTGCAGGTTCAGTCCAGGCCCCAATAAAGCAAATGTCATGATAAAACAAGTCACACAACTTTTTGCTTTTCCAGTTTGTACAAAAGTTATGTTTACACTCTGTGTAGCCTATTAAGTGTGCAATTACATTATGTCTAAAAAACAACGTACATGCCTTAATTTAAACATACTTCATTGCTAAACAATGCTAACAGTTATCTGAGCCTTTAGGAAGTTGTAATCATTTTGTTAGTGGAGTGTCTTGCCTTGATGTTGGTTGCTGCTGACTCATCAAGTGTAGTTGTTGCTGAAGTTTAGGGTGGCTTTGGTAATTTCTCAAAATAAGACATCAATGAAGTTTGCCATACCAATTGACCTTTCCTTTCATAGAAGATTTATCTGTAGCATGCAATACTGTTTGATAGCATTTTACGCACAGTAGAACTTTTTCAAAATTGGTCAGTACCCCTCAAACCTGGTCATTGCTTTATCAACTAACTTTATGGAATATTCTAAATCCTTTGTTGTCATCTCACCAATATTCACAACTCTATCAAGAGTAGTCTCTATCTTAAGACACCCCTTTCTTTCTTCATCCTTTAAAAATAACTCCATATGCATTCAAGTTTGATCAGGAGATTGCAGCAATTCAGTCACATCTTTAGGCTCCACTTCTAATTCTAGTCCTTTTGTTATTTTCATCACATCTGTAACTTCTTTCTTGGCTAAAGTCTTGAACCTCTCAATGTCGTTCATGAAGGTTGGAATCAATTTATTCTAAACTCTCAAAGTCGTTCATGAAGGTTGGAATCAATTTATTCTAAACTCCTGTTAATATTAATATTTAATCCCCTCCCATGAATCACAAATGTTCTAATGTCATCTAGAATAGTAAATCCTTTACAGAAGATTTTCAGTTTACTTTGCCCAGATCCACTAGCAGAATTGCTATCTATGATAGCTATAGCCTTATGAAATTTGTTTCTTAAATAAGACTGGTAAATGGAAATTACGTCTTGATTCATGGATTGCAGAATGGATGTTATGTTAGCTGGCATAAAACAGCATTAGTCTCCTTGTACATCTCCATTGGAGTTCCTGGGTGAACAGGTTCTTGGGTGAGCAGTGAAAAGGAATCTTTTTTTTTTTTTTTTTTCTGAGCATTAGGTCTTAACAGTGGGCTCAAAATATTCGGTAAACAGTTCTGTATACAGATGTGCTGTCATCCAGGATTTATTATTATTTCATTTATAGAACACAAGCAGAGTAGATTTATCATAATTCTCAAGGACTCCAAGATTTGCAGAATGGTCAATGAGCATGGCTTCAACTTAAAGTCCCTAACTTCATTAGCCCCTAATGAGAGAGTGAGCCTGTCTTTTGAAGCTTTGAAACTAGGCATTGACTTCTCTCCAGCTATCAAAGTATCAGATGGCATCTTCTCCCCAGCAGAAAGCGGTTTCATCTACATTAAAAATCTCTTATTTAATGTAACCACAAATTTTATTTTAAGTTTAGGGGTACAAGTGCAGGTTTGTCACATAGGTAAACTTGTGTCAAGGGGATTTGTTGTACAGATTACCTCATCACCCAGGTATAAGGCTAGTACCCATTAGTTATTTTTCCTGATCCTCTTCTTCCTCCCACCCTCCACCCTCTGATAGCCCCCAATGGGTGTTGTTCCCTTCTGTGTGTCCATGTGTTCTCATCATTCAGTTCCCACTTATTAGTGAGAAGATGCAGTATTTGCTTTTCTGTTTCTGCATTATTTTGCTAAGGATTATGGCTGCATTGTATTCCATGGTATAGATGTAATATAGGCACTTTCATCAATAATCTAAGCTAGATCTTCTGGATAACTTGCTGCAGCTTCTACATCAGCATTTGATGTCAGGGGGTGAGGGGCTAGGGGAGGTATAGCATTAGGAGAAATACCTAATGTAGATAATGGGGTGCCTGATGCAGCAAACCACCATGGCACATGTATACCTATGTAACAAACCTGCACATTCTGCACATGTACTCCAGAACATAAAGTATAATAAAAATAAATAATAATAATAAATTTTTAAATAATAAAAACTAAAAGGGCCTCTTTTTTAAAACATTGCCAGGATATAAACAAATGTTGCCACAGTTTGGTTTGGAGGGATCCTTTCTCAATTAGATCAAAGACTAATCAGTTCTCTAAGTAATCTAGCATAATTATATTGACTCAACAAATGAGGAAACTGAAACATTACAAGTGCTCTAACTTGCTCTAATTTCATGTGGAAGGCTAGTGTGGTAGCTTCCACATCAAGAAACCAAGGCTTCTGTTCACTCTACCAATCACAGTGTCAGGATCCCTTTGTATTTTGTATGTAGAGAAATAAAGCTAGAAGTAATGGGTTGACACAAATAGGCCACTTGTTTTCTCAGAATTAAGTGTCTTGATTATTCAAATTAAATATAGATAATTTAACAAAAATATATAGAGAATTTATGTTTCTTAGAGGTAGCATCAAATATTTGGAGCTTTTCTAGCTGTTTCTTTGAAGGAAGAATCTCGGTAGAGCACTTATATTGAAATGCATATAGATCTCATGGAAGCTTGTGGTCACATTGCCTTTTCTTACTGCAGATGACATATGAGCCATAATTAAGGCCATGGCTGCAGTAGGTCCTGGAAGGTTCTTTATTGTCTGTCATAGCAGAAGCTGAGAGAACATTGGAGAAAATGCCAGCAGCTACCCTCTGGAAGTGGTCATTAACCCATGTCTCACAGCTTAGACACAGCATTTTGGTATGCTACTGGCCAACAGGCCCATAAGCATTTCTAGCTTTCATGGAGATCCAATGCATCTCTTTGAATACCAATGGGGACAAACAATTTATTCACTGATTTATGGCCTAAGTTTCACTTTGTTGTCAAAGATAACCATTCAGTTATCTTTAATGAGATGTCTGCCTGCATTAAAGTCATTAGAATCACTAATAAATAAAATGTAATAGGATTTCACACAGTTTACACCTCATAATAGAGACCTAAGCTAAGTCGACATTGCCCTGAAACAAACACTTTAAAAGAAATTAAGAAAAATAAAGTTAATTCAGTAAATTATAATTCTCCCCTGGAGTCAAAAATCACCAGTCTCCAAGAAAGGTACACTGTACAAGATGATCCACTGGGATATAGGAAGAAAGTATTAAAACTTCCATTTATATTTTCTTTTAATCAAAAAAAATATAAGAAATTATTCCCAACACATTAATGTACTGACTGACACTGGGATTCTCACTCTGACTGCATGTCCTATGATCATTTGTCATGAGATGTGTTGAGGTTCCCAACGATGCCACAGGTAGAGGGTACCCTCCTATGTGTTATTTGTTACAGTCAACAAATATTCACCGAGCATCTCCTATGTGTCAGACCTCATTCTGGGTCACTGGGACACCTCTTCATTCCTGCCAACATAGAAAATATGTTCTGTCAAGGGCAGTGGGCTTGTAGAATTATTGTGCAATAAGTGGATGTAGGAATTATATTTTCAATTTTAACTAATTTAATTCTCACAAAATAGGCAAGTGAATTAAAAACATTCCTATATTCCTATAAAGTACATTTTAAATATAATAGTAACAAAAAACCAAGTTTTTCCTTGAACAACAACAAGACTTTTATGTAGAGCTTCTGCTCCTAGTGCAAGATCTTCATCAACCTGAGATGAATTGTGATAAGTAGATGTTATAAGAAAACACATCCCCCAAATTCAAAATGAACAAGAACATATGGATTTTTATCTGTTTTCATTGACAATGAACATAATATACAATGAAGTTCATTTCGTAGGGTGCAGTGGTTAGTGGAAGTTGTGACAACCTGAACGTTCACTGATGGATGAATGAATAAATGTGATATGTATGTGTGGTAAATATCCAACTTCAAAAATGAATAAAATTCTAATACATGCTATAATATGGATGAACCTTGAAAACATTATGCTAAGTGAAATAAGCCAGACAGAAAATAACAAATACTGTGTAATTCCACTTAGATACCTAGAATAGTCAAATTCATATAGAAAGAGAGTAGAATAATGGTTACCAGGGGCTGGAGGGAGAGGAAAATGAAGAGTTATTGTTTAATAGGTACAGAACTTCCATTTCAGTGCTGGAAGATTTCTGGAGATGGATAGTGGTGATGGTTGAGTTTCTGAAACACCAAGGATTCAATCTAGTTCCTGCTGTTCACTGCACAGCAGGCTGAGACGACAAGTATTGCCAAGGAAGATGGATTTGATCAGGTGATGCAGCCAAGGAAATGGGAGATCAGTCTCAAATCCATCTCCCTGACTGATTAAAATTAGGGGTTTATATAGCAGGGAAGAAATGTAACAATGTGTGAGGAATCAGGAACTAGGGAAGGGTAGGGAAACAATATGAGAGGCCTGGCTCTGGATGCAGTAATCTGGAGAGTTTCAGTTCTTTGGTACTTTTTGAGAGTACTGGGGATCCTTTCCTGAGGAAAGAACTCAGATGGAGGAGGATCCAAGATGGCCGTTTAGGAACAGCTCAGGATTGCAGCTCCCAGTGAAAGCACAGAGGGTGAGTGGACGCTGCATTTTTATTGCCCACAGACTAGGAAATTCCCAGGTGGAGAAGCTCCATGGGTCGCCAGCGTGGCTGTTTCGGCCAGCATGGCTGTGCTGGCCGGCGCCACTGCTTTGCCCTGCGTGGCTGCTTTGTCAGCGCCCTGGAGCAGCGGTTCTCCATACAAAATACACTGGTCCAGGTGCCCTTTTGGCTGGCGATTGGAGCCCTGGGAAGTCGCCCATTTGTCTGTTTAAAAAAGGGACTGAGCAGAGAACCAGGACAGTAGATTCCAGGGCAAAAAAAAAAAAAAGTGCCACAAACCTCAGTGCCACTGTTTAAGCCAGCACAGTGAGTGGCCGCAGGGGAAAACAGACCCCGGCGCCTCTTCAACAGGCGACTGGAACACCAACTTAAGAAAGGCTCTGAGGAAGGGAGCCAGACGATCAGGCTCGGCTGGTCCCATCCCCACAAAAGAACAGCAATCAGAAACTCTGGATTGAGAGTTTCACAGCAAGCACAGCTGAACCCGGGATGCTCCAGCTCTGTGGGGGAGGGGCGTCCGCCATTACCGAGGCAGCCTGCCACGACGGAGGTAGTCGACCAATGCTGAG